TCAACGGCAGTTTAGAATCGGAAGGTAACTAGTTTAATTTAATTAGAAAAGAAAAAAAATCCAAAACTTACTTCTTCTACCAAGGCAAGTTCAGTAACACCAACAGTAACGTATGAAAACTGGCACGATTCAAGTACAGCAATCCTAGAAATTAGTTATTTAGATCTACGAATATCGAGCTCGAAGCACATAAAATGTTTACAGTTTGTCTTTATACTACTATTACACACATAAAACGTATATTTAAGCATGAAGAGTATACCTGTATCACTAGACCGTCGATTCAGAGCAGATCGTTTGCTAGATATTAGGGAAGAAGGAGTTTGGGGCGGAGGATGGTGGTGGCGACGGGAGAAAGATGGTTAAGTAGAAGGCGGCGTGGGGAGTGCTAAGGGCAAGGCTGGATGACCATAGATTCGGGTCGATTGGGCGTTATTTTATTTATTTTTGTTTCCTTTTTTATTTGACATTTATTCAAAATAATTAACGTTAAATATGATTATTAATTGTTCAAAATATTTCTCATCATATCTACAATTTAGGAAAGTATAGAAATCGGCTATTAATTAATAAATTGGCAAGATTTGAATTCTAACTTAAACATGAATATCTTCTTTTTCTTTCTCTTTTATTTATTTTAATAAATGAATAAGTTTATTCTTCTATTGAAATATCTTTTAAGTAATAATTTATTTAATTTTATAATCGTGGTTCTCACAGATTATAAAAGAAATATCTCTTAAGTATTAATTTATTTAAAATAACTTATTAGTAATTTTTATTCTTAATATGAATGTTTAATTAATTTTATAATCGTAGTTCTCACAGGTTATAAATAATATACTTACTACCTTTATATATTTAATTATCATGAAATATCATGTTTTTTAACATGAAAAGTGTTAGGCATCTATAATGGGAGTTAAATGAAAGTTCAAAAAAATAAAATTAAATATAATATAGAAGAAATAAAGATATTGGAGTTCAATCCCCAATAAACGGTTTAATAGAAATTATAAAGAGAAAATTATAAGTTTTTAAGAAACTAAATTTAAAATATATATTATCTATCATATTTGACATTTCATTCAGCTCTTCATTGGTTGAATGTATTGTACATGTTATAATAAATTCAAACATCCACCTTCTTCTGATTAGAAGACCTAACGGTGGAAAATAGGTGTCGACCAATAGAGGGAAACAGATAGTAGAAGATGAATGGAACAGCCACTATTCCTAAACGCGATGTTCTTTCTATTCCTAAACGTGATGTCCTTTAAATATGTATATTAATGGGATTTGATGAGACGGAAAAGTGTGAAAACAAATATATGAAAATTTTTAAATATGGAAATATATCGTTCATGGAAATATATAGGCAAGTCATCATGATTTCATATCTCTATGCTTAATAAAAACCTCCTTTAAACGCCACATGTCCATCTTTTAGACTTGCCTTCTCCACGTGTCCATCTCTCCAGCAATTCTCTCTATTTTCTCCCGCCCAATTCATCATTCAACATAAAATATGTAATCAAATTTGTTTCCTTATAAGTTAGGAGCTGAATTTGGTGCAATTTCAGTTTTCATAATCTTCCATTCCTAAACATCATCGATTAATTTTTAAATACATGATTCCATACCAATTAATCTTTTAGACCTTCCTTCCTTTTGATGTCATCGATCTTTAAATATCGCCAATCCCTTATCTTTCTTCGTTATTTCCTTTTTTTCAACCCTAATCTTCTTTTTCCTCTCAATTAATGGTTGTGATTACAAGTAACCTCAGGTATCATCGTGCTCTGAATGGTTTCCATTATAGGTTTTTCTTGATTTGTTGTTGATTTGTCTAATACACATGAATGGTGTTGTTGCGGCTTCTAATATTAGTGATGTGGTTATTTCAAGGTTTGTAATTTTTCAAGTTCGCATTAATCTTCTTGATAACAACTATTTCTTCTTTGACTTTTAATTCAAAATTTGAAACTTTGGATTTAATGTATAGATTGAAAAATCTGAATGATAGTATGAATAAAGAAAAAAAAACAATGATATGTCGTTAAAATGTGACAAGTTTGATCATGCACACTAAGTGCTCGATGAAATGCTTGAACAATATCTTATTTTTAATTCCTTTTAAATGTTAATAGATAGGAAGAAACTAATTCAATACTTTATTTAGCATAATTTCTTGAATGGTTTTTACTCTTAATGTAATAATTTTTTATAATTGGTGTGGTTCTGCCCTACTTTACTTGAGTATATGGCTTCAATGGCAGCGTGTTTTCCTCGTATGAATTGATTAGTGTAAATGTTAGAGCACCTAAGCAACCAATTCACTTCAACATCCGGATATTTGGTAAGGACTTGCTTATGTGATTTTATAATATGATGATCCATCTGTTGATATTCCAAACAAATAAATTGTTATTTTCCAAAGAAATGAAGAAACATTAACTATTGTTGAAGAAATGCCATGGCTAATTTAAAAGACTTCGTTCTCATCTTTTGTAAGTGTTATTCTTTGCTTCAATTCCTCTTCGTCTTTTTCTTCTTCTTGATCCATACTTTTGATAGAAACCTGATGCTTTTCTTGAAATTGTTTTTTGAACGCTTTTTTTTACACAGGTTTTAGATTAATGGCCATCGATTCTTCTTTCTAGCTTCCCTTACTCTTATAATCCAAACCGACATCATCATTTTTGGTATTTTAAAACCAAATTTGTTTTCAACTTGTGAATTGTGTAAAAACAAATCTCCTCCCAACACATGTTGATTGTTTGGTTTATATGTTTAAAATGGGTTAGTGATTTTTTGATTTGATAGTAAGTGTTTTATATGAATGCGTATAGGGTGTTTGATGAAATGCTTGTTAGGACTGGACAATAGGATTGAGTATGGAATGGAATAACATTTTGTTACACCATTTGCAAATCTATTGTGTTAATGATTGAAGAATATAATGTGTTGCAGAGTTCTAAATTGATCTGATTATTTATTCTCATCAACATGTTCATTTCATGGGATAAGTCAATAAGAACCTTTCATCGCTTCTCAAAATCCAACATGTTGATTCATCTGATTCAAACTCTCCTCAATTTACTTAGATGCTTACCAGTGATCAAAAGAATGCACATAAGTTTATGGCACTAATTAGTATTGATGTACTTTTGAGCTCTGGTGATTGTGATTCTTATAGTCCTAAAAGAGAAGGCTCAAAGTCTTCTTTTTCCTTATTATCGAGTCAAAATCTTCCATGCCTATTAACAAGTTTATAATTTCACGCTACTATAAAAATTAGCCCAAAAGATACCACTCTTTCAAGGTGTCATTACTTTTATAGCAAGATAGTTTCTAAGTTCCATTTTTTATGGCAATGTAGTTTCTTATTTTTTGTCTATATAATAATTTTAAATGTACCCATCGTGGTTTACACGGGTTATAACCTAGTTATCAATCAAGTTCTGCATATATTCACAAGACTATAAAAGTGTTGCAAAATGTCATTTATGTGTTCTTTGGGGTTATTTATTTATCAGTCAGTCTATGAATAGTCACGAAAGACATTTAAAAAAAATGATTATTTATTTGAATTCAGGTATTCGAAATCAATTCAAAGAAATACAAAATCGTCGTGCTTTAGAAATAAAAAAAATTATATTGTGATTTTTGTAATGAGACATTGACTATAGAAAGTTATCTTGATTAAAAAAGGGAAATAACTTTCACGTTTTTTATTTTGACCAATAGATATGTAGATTTTAAATTTTCAAAAAAATAATAAATACATATAATATGACTTATCTAAGTCATAACAATTTACCAAAAACTTCCACTTACCATCATATTGATATTGTTATTATATAACTAGATTATATATAGATGTTACAAAAAACGATAGTTCCATACTTCAAAATAATCCACAATCTTTCTAAAGTTACATCTCTTTCTAAGGTTACACCTTCAATATATCTTTGTTTGTCTTCACCTTCCATTGGTATCATATCATACCGTTAGTATGGTTCACTTTTCATTAGTATCATATGATACAGTCAAGAGTTTGTGTAACGTTCACGTTTCTCGTTAAGCATTAGTAGCATATGCAACAAACGTTGGTTAATAATTGTAAACTTTTTATGAATCAATGAAAGAAACTTATATGAATATATATATATATATATATATATATATATATATATATATATATATATTTATGTATATCATATGTGTATATAATATTAGGTGAAAATTTGATAAACATGACTAAAATAAACATTGAAAATAAAATAGTATTTAAGATAATAGCCTTAATGAAAGTTGAAGTAGTTGTGATGATGATCTTGGAGATATAAGGAACGCTTAAATCTGACTTTGTATGATGACCCTTTGAAGTTTCGCATTCAATCCTATACAACAAAGTGTCGTAAATAGTGAATTGAAGATGGATTGCTTATTGTTATACTGATACATGAGTCAGTCTTTGTATCGCAAGTAAATATATTATTCCAAAGAACATTGGATTAACACTCCAAAACCTATAAAGGTTTCTACAACAAACGGACCTATAATTATCAACAAAAAATGTATTGTTTTATAGTTAAGACTTACCAGAGAAATCTTCCATACGCCCTCTATATACCAACAAGAATGTGGAATAGATTTCATCCTAGGAAATAACTTTTGTCCAAGTTAAGTTAAAAGAAGTTATTGAGACATTTAACCCTAAAAGGTGAGTTAAATCCATATAGATCTTATACCAGTTTCTTCTATAAGATCTATACCAAAGGACATCATGTAGATGGCATCAAGCATGTCTTGGAATATAGTCATTGAGTTATAACTAATCCAATTTGTACTTTTGATAAATTTTGAACTATTCCTGATGTTTTATGGCCAAACAATAAAAGGATAAATTCTTTTGTTGCATAATTTTCTTTGTTAGTCTAAATGATTAGACTTATTTTCGAAGTCCATCTGTCGATAAGTTCTTTTCTATTTGTTTAAATGTTGTCAATATTGAGAATGTTTGTACCGAATTGGTTTAGATTTCCAGTGGGAAGATCTGGCATAGAGCTAGTTCTATGACCTTGTTCAGTTTTAGGTCTTTCTCTTCTTTTACCTTGAAAAGAAGATTCTCCAGGATGATCCAAATGTGGTTCGGTCTTATTCATCTCAAAGTTAGGCTCTATATCATAAGAAGGAGATTCTACTTCTTCTTCTGAAATATATACAAAAGTTTCTTTGTCAAATGTTTCTTCTATGATGTTAATCATTTCATCGAAGTGGAAAAGTTGTTTAAATTCCTCAAATGTATAGATTTCTAAGTTTAATGTATCATTTTCTTTAGATTCAGCAGGATATAGTAACCTAAGAGCTTGATCAATAATCGAGACATTTGATCCATTGATTATTAATTCTTCATCTTCATAGTTATCCCAGAAGAATTTTTCTACTCTAGATAAATAATTTATCATGTTGACTTAAAGTAGTCTTTAGGCCATAACATAGAACTAGGATTCCTTTATGATCCTAGTTCTTCAGTTTCTACATTATCATTAGGGTACGAGTACTTACCATTGAATGACTTTTTATCTTCAGTTTTAACATCTAAAACCGTAGTAGTTTTATTGATTATTTCAACAATTTTTTTTGTTGCAAGAACATTTTTGAAGTACTTTTTGTGTTTCATTAATAATTTTAGCAACGATGGCTTCTAATTGGTTTGTAGTTACTAAGCCTTGGTTAATCATTTGATTGATCTTTTCAGATAGTTTTTCAACTTTCTCATTTAATTAATTAAGTGATTCCTTGATGTCAGCCATAGATTTCATCCCATAAGTTGTTTCATTTGATTTTGCATTTCTTTTAATCTAAGATTAAAATCTTTCATTTGGTATGTAACAACAGCTTTATGGGCAACTTCTTTTAGTAGATCATCGAAGTTTTTAGAAATTTTATTAAAAGTTTATAGTAGTTTTGAGTAATTTTCTATTATGTTGTTTATTTTTTCTAACCAAGTAAAAAAAAATCAAACTAATTGTTATTAATTTCTCATCCATTTTAAAGGGCAAGACATAAATCTTTCTTAAATTGATTGAAAGGTTTATTATTTTGTGATATATCTTTAGAAATATATTTTTAAATTCCAAAAAAGTGATTTATTTTGAGTGTATTTAACCATCATCTTGCGACAATCTGATTTATATTGTTACAAAGGTTAGCTAGGGTTTGAACGTCTACTTTTCATAAAGAAGAAAAAGCATATTCTTTTTTTAGTAGGATCATCAAGATTTTTAAGTCTCAATGATTTACCCTTTTTTAAATATGAGGAAGGTCTATATTACTCATTGATTACTTCACTTAGGCTATGTTTAGCGTACTAGCTGAAAAGCTAGTTGTTAGCTGACAAGCTAGCTGTTAAATAAAAAGCTAGCTAATAGCTAAAAAGCTAGCTGATAAAAAATGATGTTTGGTAAAACTAGTTGAAAATGTGAAATGACATAAAAGGACATTTAAAAGAATGTGTTTTTATAATTAATTAAGGGGTACATTTGGAAAATTTTTAAAAAGATCTTAAAAAGTTAGTCTAAGTAGTTCTTTAAAACGCTAGCTTATAAGCTACTTTTTGGCTTGCGAAACACGACAACTTAAAAAAGCTCGAACAATAAGCTAGCTTTTTAGCTAGCTGTGGCGCGCCAAACACATCCTTAGTTGGTTGATCGTTTAATTTAAATTATCAACTCTAAAATACATATTTCTTATGCTTTTGAGTATATTTCTTGGAGTATGTTCCAAAGATTTGAATATTTCACCTATATGAAGAGAGTTTATTGAGATTCTAAGTGGTAGCTTTTCTCCTAAAGCTTTTTTGTTTCTGGCTATGTTTAAAGACCAAGAGTTATCTTAAGGATCTATGTCACAATTTTTTTTTTTATCTTTGACATGTCCTATTTTTTAGAATACATCTTCAACTTTTATGTATTCTTCTTTTTTATAGTCTAGCTATGATAACTATTTGTCAATGCATATCATATGAGGTAGGTTATTATGAAGGGTTTATCTCCTAGATTCATGAGATCACTTCTTTCAAAGTGATGAATAAAAAATAAAACCTCATTTAAGTTCGTTGATTTCGGATCTAAGGCAACTTTAGGATAAACTGAAAACATGAATTTTCGGTAAGCTAGATTTCCTTTGGCTGCACCAAGAATACAATCTTGTAACATCCCAATTTCCCAATATTAGTTTAAAGCTCTAAGAGTCATGTTTCAAAGGCAACTCGACGAGTATATAGGCCAACTTGCCGAGTAGTGACCAAATCCACCACGTGGATTTTAGACCCTACTCGACGAGTTTGAGGACCTGACTCGACGAGTACGTGTTGGAAAGTGAAAACCCTAATTTTAGGGTTTGCACCCTATTTAAAGGTCCTTAACTTTCCTCCTCAGCCTCCCTTGTCACCTTCACGTCCATAGAAACCCAAATAGATAGCTAGTCTATATTCTTGAGTGTATGAGACCAAAAGAGAGTGTGTTGGAGCATTTCTTGAGGAGTTAAGAGCTTGGAACAAGGAAGAGCTTGTAGATCCAACATTTCCAGTGTTGTGACAACAAGATTGAGGTATAAAGCTACCACCTTTGCATTTCATTGCTTAGATCTCCCTTTTTGGTATAAGAATGGTCATTTCTAGGGCATGATGGGGTCACTCTCGGATTTGAGCTTGTCACACGGGCATAGTTTCAGATCTTGACTTCCCACTGCCTTACGGACATAAAGCCTTAAGCTTTATGAAGCCCTAACCCTCCTTCATGTTCAAAACCTTTTCCTAATGCTAGTTATGAGTGTTTTAGCTTCATAAAACCTTGCATGCACATAAAGTTAGCAGTGTTACGTGATAACAACACCCTAGGAGCATTGATCTACTGTTTAGAGTTGTGGAGCAGCTTAAAGTCGTTTGATTGAGTGATGGATTGAACGAGACTCGACGAGTTGCATGGTTGACTCAATGAGTCGGTTGAAGATTACCTTTATTGGTTTGCATGGACTCAGCGAGTCAGTAAGAAAACTCGACGAGTTAGTTAGGGTTCTTCCCAGCATTTAGACATGCGTAGACTAGACGAGTTGATAGGGAAACTCAACGAGTTGACTCGGGGATTTTGCAGTTTTCTGTGTTTTGGAGGAACTCGACGAGTCAGTAGTTGGACTCGACAAGTTGGGTCAACATGGACTGTTGACCTTGATTGTTCACTTGGACTTTGACCAGGGTTAACCATGTTTGACTTTTGAGCGTTTTTGGTAAATGGGTATTTATAAAATTGGATCATTGGTGGTTATAGTTGTTGGAGTTTGGGCAGTGTTTCGGGAGCGTGATTTTGTGGTTCAGTTCGGCATTGCAAGGTGAGTTATCCTCACTATATCAACATGGTTTAAGGCACCAAAGCCGACCCTTTATTGGATTTGTATCCAGATATTTGCTTGATATGTTTATTGATTTGCTAGATCTGCATCCTGGTAGTTAGGATGGTATTATGTTAGTGACCTAGTTTAGGTCGGTATCCTGGTATATAGGATGATGTTGTGTTAGTGACCAATTAGGTCGGTATCCTGGTTATAGGATGATTGCTATGCTAGTGATCTGTTAGATCAATATGATTATTTGTTATATACATTTTAGCGTATGATGTTTACATGTACATGATTGTTTGATTGGTATGGGGGTTGGGTTGAGGCGGGTCCTGCTTCGTGTTGTAGGCCAACATACTTAGGGCGGATCAGATAGACTGCAGGCCCAGGAGGGCACTTAGTCAGGCCGAAGGCTCGACGAGCGGTCCGAATAGGCTAAAGGCCCCGAGAGGGCGGTCCAGATGTGTCGAGGCTCGGAGAGTGGGCCAGATAGACCGAAGTCCCAATGTGAGTGGTTCAGTCATACTGTAGACTTAAAGAGTGGACCAGGTGGACTAAAAGCCCAGTGCGGGCGGACCAGTCAAACTGTAGACTCGAGATGCATGGCTGTTCTTTTGCTTAGATTTTTATATGATATGGTTATCGGTGTGACATTGATATTTTGGGGTAACTCACTAAGCTTTCGGGCTTACAATTTCAGTTTATTGTTTCAAGTTCAGCGGATGGCCGCGGGAAGGCGAAAGCGTGACTAGACCTGGCAATCTGTATCTGTGTGTCGTGTATTCGTGTCAGACACGAATTTACACGACACGAATTATAAAACGTGTTTGGGGTGTCAAACACGAACACGGCACGTAAAAAATTCGTGTGACACGACACGAATAGACACGTTTTTTTAACCATGTTACACGAATACACAAATAAACACGATTTTAATGTCTTTTTAGCTAGGATGACAATAACATGCAAATAAACACGATTTTATGTTTTATGTAATCGGTCCCTAGTATTTTATACATATAAAATTTAACCCTAAAATATATATGTGTTTATACGTGTCACGTGTCAACACAAATTTTATCGTGTCTTATATGTGTCTAAACAAATAAATTCGTATTTGAAACGTGTAAGACACGAACACGAATTTAAAATACGTGTCAAACACGAATAAACATGAAACACGAATTTCTAAAACACATATACGGAAAACTCGTATCGTGTTCGTGTCATGTATGAAATTGCCAGATCTAGGCGTGACCGTACACTTACTCGATTGATGATTATGATTTTTTGGAACTTGATGTTTAAATTATCTTGAAAACAAATTGTAATAATTGAATGTTTTTAATGATTTAAAAAGTTTTAAATTGGCTCGAATTTTATGGATGTTACAAATCTTGTCAATGATTGATTCTATCATCAACCAAGGCCATTTTTGTTGGAGAATTAATTCCTTCATGAAATTGAGATTTGATTAGAATTTTTACTGCTCCAATGTTGATCATTCTAATTTTAGATCTTATTTTTGTGGGAATATCGTTTAGGTTATTGTTTATCTGTTCTTTGGTTAATAGTGGTAGATAAACATATCATGTAGTATCTTTTATGTCGACAAACATTTCTTTTGTACTAACGAAGTAAAATATTTCGTTTTTTTTTCTTTTTTAACGTATTCAAAATATTAAATCTTGAGCGAACGTTTCTGAATATATTTTCTTTCTTTATTTTAAGATCTGTTTTCTTAATTTTTGAAAGAAGTTATTTTTAATCATTTGGCTTTCTTGAAAACAATATTCATTTTCAATGAAGCTTAACTTATGATCTGAAGATCGTTCTTGAGATCTCCTCTACCTTTATTTTTTAAGGATAAATCCATAACAAATCTCTGAAATTTCTAGAATTTCAAACATAACTTTTTCTAGCTATCAACTTAGTATATATATATATATATATATATATATATATATATATATATATATTGATGTGAGAAACATGTGTAGTAGTGTGGTACAAAGAGAATAGATAGTCATGAACATAAAAAACAAACAAAATTACATCTAAATTTGCACAAAATCATCCATAATTTTTTCTTGATGTATTTCAAAATTTTAAAGAGTAAATCCTGACCCATGTAAAATGTGTTTATATTATTATTATTATTATTATCCTTTTCAACTATTTTTTACCAAATGGCCACATCTTATTAATTATTTTTGAATAAATAAACAAATATATATATATATATATATATATATATATATATATATATATATATATATATATATATATATATATATATATATATATAGGTAAAGGTTCAAATGATAACCAAAAAAAGGTTAAGAACCGTAAGAACCTCTAATTTTAGATGTTTATAAAGGGTTTAGGGTTTAGGGTGTTTATAAAGGGTTTAAGGTTTAGGGTTTAGGATTTAGAGTGTTTATAAAGGGTTTAGGGTTTAGGGGTTAGGGTTTAAGGTTTAGGGTTTAGGGTTTACGGTTTAGGGTTACCCTAAACCCTTTATAAATATCTAAAGTTAGAAGTTCTTACGGTTCTTAACCTTTTTTGGTTCTCATTTGAACCACTCTCTCTCTCTCTCTATCTTTCTTTCTCTCTCTCTCTCTCTCTATATATATATATATATATATATATATATATATATATATATATATATATATATATGTAACGACCCGTTCCCGGTATGTTGATTTATCGGTAATTTTAGTGAGTTTTTCAAGAGGGACTCGGAGAGTTCTAGCCTGACTCGCCGAGTAGGGTCGCGTCTGAGGGCACGCGTGAGCCGGGGACTCGACGAGTCCATATCCCCGACTCGGCGAGTCCATCTGTCTGGGTGAAACCCTAAAATCCCCGGGTTGCCCACTATTTATACCACCTTATAGCCCCCATTCTCGCCTCCCTCACCCTGAGAACGCAGTGATAGAGCCCCAAACCTCCATTGAGGAGCTTATATGTGTTTTGGTGCCATTTTGTGAAGGTGTGAAGAAGGAGAAGAAGGAAGTAGCAAGGAGAAGTGTTGTAGTGCAAAGATCCAAGGCCAAATCAGAGTTAATTGAGGTATTTTCGGAGTTCCATCTTGTTATATGCTTTAAACTTCCATTAGAGCTCTCCTAAGAGCTAGTTGATGCTTGTTCCAAGCCTTACACTTGCATGAACGTCTTATTAAGTAGATATATCTATGGATCTGAATGTTGGGGTGTTGTAGAGCCCAGATCTACTGTCTTTTTGGAGTTATATTGCATGATAACCATAGATCTACCCATTTTATGCATCTTTTAGCCTTATTTCCCTTATTCATGAGGTTGTGCACGTAAAGTTGGAAACTTTACGTGGTAAAACAGTTTATTGGACTCAGATCTATCAATTGTATGCATTGGATTCAAACAAAATCAAGTAAAAATCTGTTGCATGGCGGCGACTCGGCGAGTCGGAAGAACGACTCGACGAGTCGGGTCGCGAGTCCCGAGTCCTTCAGTTTTATCAGTGTCGAGTGGCGAGGTGAGTTAGGAAGTGGACTCAGCGAGTTGAGAGTAGACTCAGTGATGGAGGGACTCGACGAGTATGTTCATACAACTCAGCGAGTCCAAGGCAATCTTCTTGGGATCAAGAACAACCCGTCGAGTCTGTTCATCCGACTCGGCGAGTCGGATGAAGATTGTCTGAGTTCTTGGATCAAGAGGGTACTCGTCGAGTCGATGCCAGACTCGACGAGTAGCAGTGAGTAAGAGTGAAAAGTGAGAGTAGGACTCGGCGAGTTGGGTGGCCCAACTCGGCGAGTCAGCCCAAAAGAGAATTGACTTTGACCGAGGGTAAAAGAGTCATTTTACCCCAAGCGCAGTGTTTAGTATTTGATTGAGTGTGTTTATGGACTTGTAGCTGAGGAGATTCAGGAGCAGCCGCCGTTAGCTTTCCGAGCCACACACTCAGCAGCCAGCTTACGAGGTGAATTTCCTTCCAGTAGGAACGGGTCTAAGGCCACAATGCCGGCCCGTTCAGTTAGCAGTAGTTTCCGGATTTAGGTCCGATGCAGTAGTAGGTATGTTCGATGCCTTCGTGGTTCGAACAGGATTTGTGTGCTATGTTTTATGTGTTAAGTATTATGTGTTCCGGGCCACGGCCCGATGTGGCATGTCGTATATGTGTTATGCTATTTGATGTGTTATGCGATGCCATGTTCAGCCAGTCAGTTCCGGACTTCGGTCCGATGCAGTTAGTTCCGGACTTCGGTCCGATGCAGGGGACAAGGTCCCAGTCAATTCCGGACTTCGGTCCGATGCAGTTAGTTCCGGACTTCGGTCCGATGCAGGGGACAAGGTCCCAGTCAGTTCCGGACTCGGTCTGATGCAGTTTCCGGGCTTCGGCCCGATGCAGTGGGCAAGGCCCAATATGTGTTTATATGTTATTGTATGGTATGTGGTAGTTTGGGGGAGCTCACTAAGCTTCGTGCTTACAGTTTCAGTTTTGGTTTCAGGTACTTCCGCAAGCAAAGGGAAGAGCTCGGGGTGACAGCATCGCACACACCGCAGCATAGCTTTTATCCTGGGGATGTCTCTTGATGTTTTGGATTGATGTAGTATGATACAATTTTCCGCATAATATTTTATTATGTTTTGGGAATACATCGCGTATGTTTTATGTTATGATACTTATATTATGGTTTGATTATATGGAAAAACGAAAATTTCTGGGTCGTGTTTTTGGGTCGTTTCAATATATATATATATATATATATATATATATATATATATATATATATATATATATATATATATATATATATATGTAAACAAATTTGTCATTTTAAATTGATTAGGGACCAGAATCGTAACAAAACAAAATAAGAAGGGTCTGAGTTTAAAAAAGCTACGAACAAAAAACGCCAAGGACCATTCATGTAATCTACTGATTAAGTAATGATTTAATTTTCAAATCTCCCCGCTGTAACGGTATCATACGACAGGACGCCCTACGGACAAGGGCTGCTCGTATAAATATCCCTCTATGCTTACCGCCTCCTCATCGCATTTTGAGTTCCTCACTCATACTCGATCCACGTCCTTCCAATTCAAACCCTAATTTTCTAATTCAGATCACTAATTCAATACTCATGGATTTCCAAACCCTTAACAGAAGAGAACTTCAAGCTCTCTGCAAGCTCAACAAAATCCCTGCTAATGTCACCAACATTGCTATGGTCGATGCTCTCAAATCTCTTGAGACTGTAAGTTAATTCATTCCAATCCAATTTGATTATGTATCTTCTTATTGTATTAATATTTTGTATTGAAAAACCCAATCTCAGATTCCAGCTAATGGCGAAGCATTGTTTTTAGTGTACAGATGTTAAAATTAAAACTATAAGCTTTATGAGCTATCGTATCTTTTGTGAGAAAGAGTTATTCAATGTAATCCAATTTTTTTCGTATTGTGTTCGCATTGAGATAGATGCATTCGATTTAAAATCTGTTTGATTGCGCCTTGTTTCTATTACCCAACTATGAAGAAGATCGTTATCTGTGTAATTCAGAATGTTTTTACCATGATTTCCTTCTGCAACTATATGCATATAAAGTTTCGGTATATTGATTTAGAAACTGTTGTTGCTTCCTGTATTCAATCAGGTGGAAGGGATCGAAGAGTTTTTGAATCCTTCAAGGTCTGAAACTATTGGATCGTCAAATGAATCGCCTGAAAGAATTCAGGCTACATCAGTCAGGGTTCCTCGCACGACCTGTAGGACTTCCACTAGGCAAAAGGCTAATAATTCTGAAACCGAGTCTCTGCATGCGACTGCGAGCAGGGCAACTTCTCGTGGAGTGAGGAGGCAATTAGATGGAGAGGTCAACGAATTCCTGAAAACTCCAATGGTTTCCAGCATCAGAAAGAAGGGGACTACAACATCAACTCATCAAGAAGCTTTGAAGAAGGAGACTACTACTACTACTACTACTACTAACACTACTGTACAGAGAGCTTACAGCACAAGAAGATCAACAAGGTTGACTGCAAAGAAATCTGAAGGGCTAGAAGTGATAGACAGGGAAAGAAGTGAACCCATAAAACTTGATTCGTTTTTGGATGAAGTGAAGGATTTGGGTAATCAAAGTGATGAAAATTCAAAGAATGAGAAGGAGGTTGTGCATGTAGACACTACTACACTTGAAAGTGGAGAGAAGAAAGTAGATTGTTGTGGTGAGGTAGACGATTTAAAGGTGAAATCAGATGAAATCATTGAGCAACATGAGAATGTGGATTTAGAAGATCTAAAACCAGATTCAGAACCATGTGAAGATGATGATTCAGAAGAGAAATGGGTGATCATAGATGAGAAAATTGATCTCAATGAAGCACCGAATGTTTCAGTTAAGGAACAGGATGCTACTTTTATGGTTGCAGAGGAACAAACAGTCAAAGCTGATGATATTGACGATAATGCCCTTTCATTTAACACCGAAAACCCAAGTGATCCTTCAATATTGAAACCTGAAAGCATGCCCTGTGTTGTTTCAGAGATGAAGAATGAAGAATCAGAGTACAATGGTAAGTTCCATATCTCTTATATGATATAACTCCACATATGCTTATTACATGAATCGAGTCATATAATCTTTTTGTTTCTTCAGGGAATTTGAACTCTGAAATTCCAAAAGAGCCCTTGAAGTTAGATAATCATAATGTCGATGAGGTAATGACTGCAGAGGGTATAGATGAGAATATCTCCGAAAATAAGGGTAAGTTTTCAAATTCTTGTCAATCTAAAATTGATAATTTGTTAAGGAAATAAGAGTGATTGTGATTATTATGTTGTGATTACAGTTGATTTTGGAGAAACACAAGAATCTTTAATGGAGGAAGTTGATGTTGATGAAGTAACACATGAGTCTTTCATGAAAGAAGGCAATAAATCTTCAGACAACAAGGAGAATGAAGAAAACATAAATGAAAAAGAAGGTGATGGAGATGAGAATGTTAAGAAGAATTTAAATGATACAAGTTTGAGGCAGCTGAAGAAGCAACTAAAAGCTTTAACGATAAAAAGCAAGGATGCAAGTTGTGTGACAACTACAGAAATGGAGAATTGAAGAAGAATGTATGCAAAATTTTGACCCCATCATCATCATCATCATCATCATCATCATCATCATCATCATCATGTTTCTACTACAACATTTTTGTTTTTATATTGAAATTATGACATGTTATGCAAAATACGTGGCTTGAAAAGTATTAGAATGGAATAATATCATATTTGAGCTCAAATGTTTTTTTTTGCTTAGACATAATCAGATTGAAGTCAAAATTCCTAGTTTGACCCAAAAAATAACCACTAGTTAAGTTTGGATTTGATTACAAAATAGGCGAGTTCAGCCAACTTTTAACACATAAAAGTTTTATATTGTCCAAAAATCACTCAAGTTTGATAATTTATTCAATTTATGTAAAAAAATGTTAAATGTAAAATTTTTGACATGTTTATCTACCGTATCTAGTTTTGTTATTGCAAAATACCTCAAAAAATTTTGTAAAAAATTTAATTTAATTGCATGTTTACGAAAATGTATTTTATTATAAATTTAATACCATCATATGAAGTCTAACATGTATGATGTATAATGTTTTGTTGACAAGATTAAGATTATGTGATGTAAATATATGCGTAAATGAACACCCTAACATTATGGTAATGTTGTATTGGACATCCCTTGTTTTCATTCAGCCCTTCACGTTCAACTAGTTGCCTTCTTTCCTAGGGAATTCAATCACATCGGATCAGTGAGCTAAAAAGTTTCTCAACAGCTAAAGTAGCTGCTTGATCTGTCACCCTCCGTGATTCAAGTCTGTCACTAAAGCCTTAAGTCAAAAGCTCGACTTCAAGCCCTTTATTTTAGGATACCAAGTGAATCAAAGCAAAAGCTTACTCAGAGCTCAGACTCTATTTAAATCAAAGTCAAACGAAGCAAAGCAAGTCAACCTAAGAGGGATAGGCATGATCATTCTATTCTAAAGGTAAAGATTTGAACTAAGGACTGAAAGCTAGAAGTTTTCTATGTGAACATAGAATCCAATATAAACAACCGAAAATGCTAAAGTAACTGCTATAGAGGCAACCTACTGGAAAAAGCTAGAGGATAAAAGTTACTCGGTTAAGAGGATTATGGAATAAACGAAGGAAAGTTTAACACAAATGATCATAATATGTGTTCATCTTCTTGGTAATTAAAATGAATGACGTATTCGTCTAGTTGTACTTTACATGTGTCCAATTAGAAAATTTTGCTTAGTGAAATTATATTTTCTTGGCAATTTTATTTTACCTTATGGTTATATTTATATTTGTTTGTAACAGAGATAAAAAAAATGATTTAATGCATGCCTAACAAATAAAGTAATAAACGAGAAATACTATTTGTTATTATTTTTCTTTAAAATAAATTGACTAAAGTATATTATTATTATATAATTTCAAACATAACCAAATACAGATTTATAAGGGTTTTTTTTTTTTTTTTCTAAATTTATAATTATCAATAACAATAATAGTAAGCACCAAGGAGCATTAGAAGATGTTTTCAAAATTTCACTCAAAAAAACATAAAAAAGACCAAAAAAACCTGCTGATCGAATAAGGTTTCTTACATTTAAATTGTCAGTCCACAATCAAACATTTTAGGGTAAATTACACAGATGGTCCCTATGGTTTAGGGTAATCTGCATGCTTGGTCCCTAAGAACTATTTTTAACTCGAATCGTTCTTAATTGATATTTTTGTAACACGCTTGGTCCCTGTCCGTTCTAAAAAGACTGATTTGCCCTTACTAGTTTCTTTTACCTTTTTTAAAATTATTAGTTAATTAATAATATATATTAATTAAATATGAAAAGTGTATTAATTAAATATATATTTGTTTGATTCAAGATCCCACACCATCGTACCCTCCTCCCCTCCCCTGCCCTGCCTCCTTATGTTTAGTTGCTGGAAAATCTGACTCCACTCGCCGGAAAAATCCGACCTCAACCATAAAACGCCGGACTCCATCGGAAAACACTAGGTTCCACCGAAATCCAAACCAAAAATCATTACCAATACCATGGAAATCACCCAGAATTCAACAGAAAATACCTATCGTTCAACAACAAATGAGAAAAATACATCTCAAACCAAAACATTTAATTAAGATCAAAACCAAAATAAAACCTGAAAATCAAATCTAAAACCAAAATGGAACAAAAGATCTTGGATCTGTCAATTTTTTTTTTCACAGTCTCTACATTTTGGGGTGAAAGAATAGAGAAATCAAGTATGGTTAAGGGAAGATTGGAATCGGTATTAGAACCCATGGATTTAGACTGCCACAGGGGGGATTTAATCATCGGAAATCAAACTGATTTCTACAATAGATATGAAATTACATGAATCTAAAATTAAAGCTAAAACAAAATCATGAAGCACAAAGTGCAAATCAGTCTTTTTAGAACGGACAGGAACCAAGCGTGTTACAAAAATATCAATTAAGGACGGTTCGAGTTAAAAATAGTTCTTAGGACCAAGCATGCAGATTACCTTAAATCACAGGACCATCCGTGTAATTTACCCAACATTTTATTATCATTTTTAAATTTTATTTTACAGCCCTATTTGAAAAATTATATAATACTCAAAAGATGTACATTTTTTCTTTTTTATTCCGAACAAAAATCAACATACTGTATTTTATTTTTATGTTTTCTATAATGTAACACGCGCAGTTCGGACGAGGGTTTGATGCTTTGATATATAAATGTCGTTCTATGCTTGCGCGCCTCCTCGACTCCTCGTTGCATTTTGAGTTTCTCATTCATGTTCGATCGAACTTCTTCAAATTGAAGCCCTAATTTTATCTCAGTTCACTAATAGATTAGTCATGGATTTCGAAACCCTTAACAGAAGAGAACTTCAAGCTCTCTGTAAGCTCAACAAAATCCCTGCTAACATCACCAGCATTGCCATGGTTGATGCTCTCAAATCTCTTAAGACGGTAAGTTAATCGATTGCAATCAAATTCGAATCTGCATCTTTTCTGTTCTTATAGTTGAATCATGCGTTTTATGTATTTTAATGACTAATGTTTTCAAATATCTTGTGATAGCGAGTTTTTCATTTTTATATACTTGGTTTCTGCATTTTCGTATTTAGAACTCCATTTCATCCGCATCTAATCTGTAACCCTTACCATATAATTTTTTTTGGTGTTGATTTGGAGACTGTTGTTTGTAAATACATTATCAGGTGGAAGGGATTGAAGAGTTTTTGAATTCTTCAAGAACAGAAACTGTCGAATTGTCAATTGAATCGCCTGAAAGAATTGAGATTACATCACCTAGGGTTCCTCGCACAAGCTCTAGAACTTCTACACGAAAAAAGGCAAAGATTGAGCTTAATGAAGTCCTGAAAACTCCATTGGTTTCCTGCACCAGAAAGAAGGATCCAGAAACTTCTTTCCATGATGTGGCAAATCAACTGAAGGAGAGTGAAGATATTGCAAAAAATGAGAGTTTAGTGAATCATGAGAAGAACTGCATTCCAAATACACCTGTGGAAACATATAGCCAGATGAAGGTAACTAAATCAACTCGTAAAGAAACTGTGAAAAAGGAAACTACTACTACTACTGTACAGAGAGCTTACAGCACAAGAAGATCCACAAGGTTAGGTGCAAAGACATCTCAAAGGGCAGGTGTAACATCTAAAGAGAATTTGGGTAAGCCCTTACAAAAGAGACATGATGTTATTGTTTTGGATGAAAGTGATGAAAATTCAGAGAGTGAGAAGGTTGTGCATGTGGACACTACATTTGAAAATGAAAAAGAGAAGGTAGATTGTTGTGAGGAGATGGACAATTTAAAGGTGAAGTTAGTTGAAGTCTTTGAGCAACTTGAGGAGAAAAGTGGCCATGTGGACAATCTAATATCAGGTGTAGAAGGCATATGCAATCCAAGTGAGCTGGAGCCCTCAAAATTGGATAATCATAATGTTGCTGAGGTGATGAATGCAGTGGGTATAGAGAATAATATCTCCAGAAATACGGGTAAGTTTCAAAATTCTTGTCTCTCCAAATATTTAAAAGTCTTGAGCCCCAAAAATCCATCAACCTCATGTCACTTAAAGTCCAGTCTTACAATGGATGCACTCTCATTTCTTTGTCCAATCTGTATCACAACATTATAAATTTTAACCAAAGTGTGAGTCTTTTACTTTTACCTGCTTTCAAAATGAAAATTTTCCTCATCTACATTTTATCTGTTACTATTAGTTGGTTCTGTGAATCCCAAGAAGCAAAAGGTGAGCATGAGTTTTGAAGGTAAAGATGGAGAAGCACAAGAGTCTTTAAGTCAGGTAATGTCTGCCATTTCTTTTTTCTAGAGCTGTAATACATATAAAATTTCATTGCATTGATTTGGAAATGGTTGTTTTTGTTACATGTTGTTAGATTGAAGGGATTGAAGAGTTTTTGAATCCTTCAAGAACAGAACCTGTTGAATTGTCAATTGAATCACCTGAAAGAATTGAGATTACATCACCTAGGGTTCTTCGCACAAGCTCTAGAACTTGTACACGAAAAAAGGCTAAGATAGATGTTAATGAAGAAGTCTTGAAAACTCCATTGGTTTCCTGCACCAAAAAGAAGGATCCAGAAACTTCTTCTTTCCATGATGTGTCAAGTCAACTGAAGGAGTGTGAAGATATTGCAAAAAGTGATAGTTTAGTGAATCAGGAGAAGAACTGCATGCCAAATACACCTGTGGAAACACATAGCCAGATGAAGGTGACTAAATCAACTCATAAAGAAACTGTGAAAAAGGATATTACTACCTCTGTACAGAGAGCTTACAGCACAAGAAGATCCACAAGGTTAGGTTCAAAGACATCTCAAGGTGGAGGTGTAACATCTCAAGAGAGACATGATGTTATTGTTTTGGATAAAAGTGATGAAGATTCAAAGATTGAAAAGGTTGTGCATGTGGACACTACATTTGAAAGTGGAAAAGAGAAGGTAGACAATTTAAAGGTGAAATTAGTTGAAGTCTTTGAGCAAGTTGAGGAGAAAAGTGGCCATGTGGACAATCTAAAATCAGGTTTAGAAGGTATATGCA